AACTTTCATACACAATTTTATTTTAACTAAATAATTTAGAAAAGTTAGATACGTTACGGAAAATGCGCCAAAACTAACAGACCTAAGTCAGTTCTTGCACTGTTTTGTTTAACATCATTTTTATTGTCTAGCAAGATGAATCTGATTCTGTTTAGTTGTGTTTGTACTCTAATAGTGAAAAGTGTTTTTTTTCGGTTTGTTCTATTCAAATATTTATCTAGTAACTTGCCACTCATGTATTTATTGATTGTAAAAATTGTATTTACCGTATGAATAAATAAAGAATATTTCGTGTGCTTTAACAAATATAAACCACTTTTAATCGTCCGATTACGATAGAACCAGTTTCAACTCATACTCAGCAATGACTAATGAGAATCGGACGAGAACCAGAATGAGAATGAGAGAAACTAAGATAAGGGCGGTCCCGATCATAAACACAAGGCTAATTACGATTGAACATAAAAACAATAAAAATTCAATAACTGTTTTTCAGATAGCCAAGGAATGGCTGGGACAGAGCCTAATGAAGGATTATATATTTAATGGTCCAATTCCTCGCCATTAAACTAATGAGGGTTTTATCTTTCATTAAATGCTAATGAACTGAAATGCAATATAAGAATGAGATTGGATTGAAATGCGTTTAGGAAATGCAACCTAGTCGGAATAATTAGTCGAGGATGGATTTATTTGGAAACTATACAAAGTCTGTAAAAAAATACTAAACGGTATAGAATGCAGAATCAAATTTATTTCTACGGTATTCTAAGTAGGGTGTATTTATTTTTTATCGGAAAAAGACAATAGTTAAACAGTGGGAAAAATATAAAACTAGTTTTTGTTTTAATATAATCCTATATTGGGTTACTAAGAACTTTATACAGCCATGATATGTAAATGTTAAGTATAATTAATACAATAACAAAAATTACTTTTACATTAAAAAAACTAAAAACAAACCTAGGTATGATACTATTCTTCGGATACAATTTCAGGTATTTATTAATACAATTATTAGTAGGCTAGCTAATATTTAGAAAATATTCCGAGTCGAGCATAATAATTAATTAATAACTGAATCTGATTACCCTTATCGTGTTACACATTTTTGACTACTAAGATTATTGTACAATTAAACTATTTGATCACAAGTTATGTTTTGTTTTAATGTTCTATATCTATTTAAAGTTGTTATAAAAACAACCTTATATTGAGTTGCAATATATTTTAAGAATAAATAGAAAATTTTGTTCACCCTTCAATCTTTGTATTCTTAAAAAGTAAAATTTTCAAGTAATCTACAATACTTTGATCAAACTTTGGATTGTTCAAAATATATATCTGATTATTTAATAAAAATGCAAAAAAAAATGAATGCTCTATTCCCACTACATTTACCGCATTAGGTCAAACGGCCGATACATTAGTTCCAATTGCGCCAATAAGAACATGGCGTGTTATAAATTAATATCAATATCGTATTTTTGCGTGTTTCTGATTCGAGGTATATAAATGTTTGATTATTTGGACGTTTATTCAAAATTTTCCAATAAAACATTAACAAGTTTTAAGAAAATGCTTACTGGTAAGGATCTTTAAATTATAGTTTTTGTTTTGAGCTGTGGTGTTATCTTTTGTTTCTGTTTAAGCTAAATAAAACACAACTTAAACTAAACTTAAAATTCTTTTTAACTGTTTTCGCTTAAAATATTGAACACATACTTTGAATAGTGAAATTTAAAAAGATTCGGGGATACATAACAATTATTTTGAGCCGAATTGTAAGGTAGTATTTCCCCTAACATTAACAACTTTCAAAATCATATTTTTTTTTAAACCGTGTTTGGTGGACCTACTTTTGATGATAGCATAGATTAAAAGAAGAAGACACTCCTTTTATCTATGATGATAGTTTTCAAAATAATATACCCAGTATTTTTACAATATATAAAAAAAACAATGCAATATAATATTTTAGAAAGGTGGTCAAGTTTAAAAAAAAATTAAAATAATATGCCGGTATTACTGTACCACAAGGTTTGAATCAAGGAAAATTAGTATAATAAAACAAAATAGGTGTTTAGATACAGTATAAATTATGAATTTTGAGGAACAAATAACTACACATTTTTTGTAAATTGTACAGAGAACTTTGCCAAATTACATGAGTTTCATATCATAATTCCGCAACATGATAAACGAAAAATACAACAATTGCAACAAATATGTACTATTAAAACGTAGGCTATGTAACATAATATATAAATACAGATAATTTATTTTATAAACAAATATGTTGTATTTAATTATTTGTTTAACTGATTTATCATGTATAAAATTAACTTACAGCAAATCTTAGGCAAAACCAATTAAAGTATTATTGTTAAAATTAATTTAAAGTTTACGATATTGCCTTTAATAGATTTTGCGTAGTAATTTAATTTGGTTCCATATAATCCCTTTACATTTGCAACAGTTGAATTAAAGTTCTTTGAAAATACTTACTAACTGCGTTTAAAAACTGAAACATGTTAGCATTCCATAAATAAACTGTCAAAAGTTGTTGAAACTTGTTAATATGCATTTTTTTAAACTTAATATTAACAAATCATTTAAAGTCATCGAGTGATTTAAAAGTTTCAAAGTAGTTCTAGGTTTTGTTAAGAAAACAAATTTAATCTTTTAGTGATTTTTTAAGGTAGAATAGCCAATTTTTACTTTGGTCCAAAAACGCTGTATCGATTTGGTTAAGAATCTTCCCTAAGATTGAGTTATCCATGTAGTATTGTTATATTGTTTGCATGTTGCATCAATGTAAACAATTATTGTTGTTGTTGTTGTTGTTTAGTCAAAAACAATTGTTGTGTAAAATACAAACTGCGGACGTTTATAAATGATTTTTGGATCATCCACGTAGACTATTATATTATTAAATTAATTTATAAATGAATAAATAGCTACTGGCGTGTTTTAAACCTCTGATCTAAAGGGTAAAACAAGTCAACATTTAGACTAGAAGGGAACCCCGAAGTAAATTAAAACCACCGATAGTTTCGCCCTCAATAGAAGCCATTACAGACTTTATTATTTAGAAAAGCAGCAATTTGAGCAGAAACGGCGGGGGAAACAATGCTCATTAATAACACGCAATTAGATATTTTCCATGCAGCATGCGAGAAGTTAATCAACTAGAATTACAGCAATTACAGCCAGATAGCAAGAAACGCATTACGTTCGTTATGACTCGGGTAATTTTACTTCTTATTTCCACATTATTTTTAATGATTTCCAGGTAATTTCCCTTCGCCAGGCGATGGTAAATCGTAAAAGGTTTTATTCTGTGAGCAGTTCCAAGGTATTCAGCTAGAGAATATTGGTTATAACTTGCGCATCGATAATAATTGATTAATTAATTGATTGGTTGGTACTTGTTATAGTTTTATTGGTTTTTTATTGGTTACAAATATATTTCATTTTTGTGTAATCTTTTTGCAAACACTGAGTGGAAAGTAGGCATATAACATTTCATTGGTCGATTTTGTAGTGTACCGGTTCACTCTTCTCCTAAAATGTTCGCGAAGATTCGGAAGTTTAGAATACGTAATTGAAAGTTTTGAAAAATTTTTAGATGTTCCTAAAATAAACTAAGAACATTTGTTATGATAATAGTTAGATTGTAGAAGTAGTGAGCTACGTAGCTCCCTACACAGTTGTGTAACTTTACCATGTAAAAATTAATGAAATAAGTAAATGTTCTTATACACAGAATTTTCCATTCCAAATTATTTCTTTTAGGTTTAACTCTTTGCCATTTAATTTGTGTTTTTAAACTTTAACAAATTCCTTAAATGTAACTGAGCCAAATACTTCTATATGAACTAATTCCAATTCTAATCCACATAAATGACTTGACTCGTACATAAAAAACGTATGGTATATTCTAAGTTAATGTAGAAATTACATTACACTAACTTACAAAACTGACAGTTTTCAAGCTAATGTACCACCACTAAAATTTATATTACAAATACTACATTATACCTTAAACTAATCTAAACTACTAGACACGCCCATCATAATCCTGCACAACTTAATGTTAATTGCATTTCAATCTACAAATACATAATGCAAAACGTTTCATTAGATCGCAAACGTCTTACGGTGAAAATTATTGTGACAAGAACATTATTAAGCGCGGATTAGCATATTAAATGATTCACAGCTAGTGCAAGGCTCCGTTATTAGATTACGTAAATTGAAAACGATATTGCGAAAGAGGCAGTGGTAAACACGCTAATGGAAAATAATGAGGCTACTTGAAACTTGGCCCAGGATCAAGACGGTTGCGAAACGTCTGGATCCGCGGGAATCAATTAGTTCCGATCAGCTGTTTGAAAAGAAAAAGAAGAAGCGTTATCAGATGTTATCAGTCGCGCGCCGCCGTCTTTGAACTGGGAAACTTGGGTTGGCGGGGAGACGCATAGACACTACTTGGATGTTGTGGGGATTGTAGCTACTTAAAAACGATCTTAATTATTATCGACTATGTCATTCTGAAAAAGTTCAACACGTCGTCAAAAAAATAAGACGTTGGTATAGAGAAAACATTAATTCGATTTATAGAGTTCAATCCGTGAAAAACAATATCCGAGAAAGTTTAATGGACTTTTTATGATAATTTTAAATTAACATTTTAGGGGCGTAACAAATGTTTTAATGAGTACCACAGCCGTACGTTTTACTATCGAGTAATGCAGCGTGGTTGGAATGTATATAAGACACTCGGCATTTGTTCAGTTTATTGTCGTCGATTGTGTGGCTTTATAACGCAGGGTTTCATTAGAACTAATAGGGTGATTAGTCATACTGATTAGACGACAGACGTTACTGTTAATTATCTTATCAGAGCGCAAGACGCGCGCGTACTCTCGCGGGTTGAAACTAGAAACTACGTCAAACAATGGAGAAGATTTGTATTGTGTGGTGGAGGTACTTACAGGTGAGGCTAGATGATGGACGGACTCGGATGATGACGAGGTATCTATCAGCCCAGGCGGGAGTTGAGGAGTCGCACAGTTTGTAGGTTAGCGTCGCGTCGAGCGCGCGTCGTTGCGGGGCGAGCCGGCGACTTGAGGACTCGCGGGGAAATGTCACAGCAGAAATCACTGATGAAGGTTAAACCGTTTAAAACAATCAGTGGCGATCGAGACGGCCGCGGCGTCAGTCGAAGGCGGAATCGAACAGTGAACTAAACAGTGTTGAAGACAACAACAGCGCGGGACGGCGACCGTCGGCCGTGTTCGGCTCACTTCGGCAACGTTCGGCCGAGCAGACGAAAAGACCGAGCGCGAGATCTATCTACAACGAGACGAACCAACTTCCCCTCCCTCCCCCGCCGTTTCTAATGACTATAATGAATGCTTTGATGAATTTCCCCCCACCGTTCCCTTTCCTACGCATGAGCACAGGACATAATTAGATTCCCAGTGTCCAGTTCCACCCCTAGCACTTATTTCCCACCCACCTTTCCCCCTCCACCGCCATCTAATTTACCCCCTCGCACGTTAAAACCACTTATTTCGTCTCTTTTACTTTATCAATCGAATTAATACTTACATTATTACAATTTCTGTTGCGCCCTTTATTTCATCAGCGGTTTTTTCCTACCTCGTTACTTTTTTCGACTCCCCGACCGAGAACCAATCGCATGTACCGAAATAAATTACCTTTAAACAAATAAAAACGCGAAAAAGTTGTAATAAAACGTCGGACTGCGAATTTCGACTCTTTTCTATTGATTCTTACTTGTTATTTCCCCCGGCGCGGAGGGGGGACATGACGACTTCTGAAATAATCGCGATCGAAACTGACAAATCGAATTCTTATCGGGTAAAGAATACGGAAACATTCTTGTCGTCAAACACCGAGTTAAGAAGTAACAAGCTAGAATGAAAAGCTCCAAGTGACCGCGATAAAACAAACCCCTCTCACCCCCCTCTCCCCTCACACCCCTACAGCTTCCTTCCCTGATCTTCTCCACGGTGGAATTTGTGGATCCGCTTCAAATATTTCAGTTTTCAACCCCAATAATAACCCTTCATTCTTCTCTTTCTACTCGAGGAACAAAATACACCTTGTTGATTTAACTGTAAATGGTCCATAATGTACAAGAGTGTTTACTTTATAGATTCTAGTTTTAGTTGGTTACTTAATTTTAAGAATCACGTAGCAATGTTATTTTTTACCGTGTTTTTGACCTTCCTTAGCAAAACCTTGCGGTTTTTTTTTACATTTCATTGCACTGATTTAGCTTGAGCACTTCAAAAATACATTAAAAAAAAAAAATAAAAAAAACTGAAAGGTAAAAAATGGTTATTACTGCTTTAAACAATAACGTTTGAGGTTTTTAAAATTTAAATTAAAAAAAAAACATCTTGCGAGTTTTATTGTTTGTAATTTAAAATATGGTAGGTTATATTTAACCTAAGTTATAAATTTTCAATTTGTTGTTCCAAATATGTAACTTAAAATCAAAACAGGGTTTCATCAAATACAACAAAACCCCTATTTACTATTGTTTGGTTACAATAAAGATGACCAACTGATTGAGAGCAAATATAAATTATATATTTTTTTAAAGATTTTATTGAATTAGAGTATATGCATATAAGACTTGTTTACTACTGTTATTATTATTTATAAAACGTTCGTGTAGCACAGAAATAATATTGGTCCAAGAATGGAGAATTGAGGAACCCCATACTTAGTGGTAAGCATCGATGTGGTGGTAAGAGAGATGGAATTATATTTGGCCATTTTGTCATCTTTAGATGATGTAATTTCAACTTAGTGTTTTCTATTAAGAAGGTAAGATCCAAACTAATCTAAAGATAACTTGTTTAAACCAAGACTTTATTCAACAGTGTTGTGTGTTAGATACTGTCAAAAGCTTTAAATAGATTCCCAACAACTCCTTTAACTTTATTTTAACTAGCTTGTTTTTTATGTAACCATAATAATTACTACTAAAGAGAGACAATTTTTAACAACACCAGCTCATATGATGGTATCCATGTTTCTTTAATTCATTGCCGATCAGCTAATATGCATAGTTCAAGTTATCTATGAGGTTTACTATTATTCATAATTGATTGTAAATAAGAAGTAATATGGCAATTTTGCATGCCCAAATTATTCATTTATTTATTCATAACAAATTCCCCCGAAAATACTAAAATCTAATATAACTATGAAACCATGCATATCAGCTGATTGGCAATAGAATAAAGAATACAAGGAAACAAAAATGTGCGCTTGTTTTGTCGTTTAACACCATCTTATGGTTCTTGTAATTTAGGGTTGCGTTAAAAAAAAGCACCTTGTATATCGAGCAAAATTAAACTCCTACATCTTGATGATGATAAGTAAACCGCTATAATTTTACTGCTCCTTTAGAATTGGCTGGCATACGACTTGCAATTCAATAACTCAAATTCATGTTAGGCCCATGGGGTAAGATTTTTTACGTTCATACATACTTTTCCGTATTTGATTTTAATAATCAACCATTCGACCACGATAGTAGTTAATTACTAGAGTGACTAAAAAAAAAAAAAAAAAAAAAAAACTACAACTAAACGTTTATATACTGAAAAGTAAAATAACATAAAACGCTGGTATAGTCTGATACAACAATAATCTAACAATCTAGTCGGATACAACAATAATCTAACAATCTAGTCGGATACAGCAATAATCTAACAATCTAGTCGGATACAACAATAATCTAACAATCCACACGTGAGAGTTGAGCAGTTGTCGTTTTCACGGGGAGCGCCTCAAAGAAGCTATCGGTCGTAAGCGCTCGCCCTTGTGTGCTTGTGTTCTGTTCTCCCCATTTTGATTGGACGAAAATCAATGACGGACCCGGCCTTGTTTGACTGCACCGGGGTCTGATTGCTGCACCACTTACATGCACTTCTCACTTCCACTTGCATGAATAAACTTCGAACTAGGGAGTTTTGCGTAGGAATTTGCATAAGTTGTATAAAGGAGTTAGGAAAGTGGTCTTCCAAAATAATGAACGAAGGAGCTTTGAAGGATGAATATTTTACAGTACAGTTTATTAGGGAAGCAATACCACGTTAAACTATTTAGTTTTAAGTAGAATTGTGCATAAGTGTTCTAAAAAAGGGGCTTGAGAAGGAAAGTAGTATGCAAAAGTAGTGAGCAGAGAGGTATTACGTAGGTACCTCATATATTTTACAAAAAGGTTATGAGGGAAAATGTTATGTACACGTGTTAAACAAATTAGATTTCCATAGACCTATGTGGAAATAAATGAAAACATGTTCAGCAAATATATTGTTTTACGTATATATACGTTCAATACAGGAATCATGTTTAAATTCGTGTTCTCTACATTGATTAATCTTTTGAGAATCTTGAGCCCCAATCTTGACTGACGTTCCACGTAAATATTAATTTGCATTAATACTTTATAGATGAGGAAATGAAAATACGTAATATAAAAAAAAAATTTCGGAGGAGTATAACGAACAGATTTGCGTAAATGTTCAAGTAAAGAGTGCGAGGACCTTTACATAAATGTTTTACAAAGCAGTTGATAAGGAAAATTTCTTAGAAAACGCTTTAAATAAGGGTAGTCTACGTACCTCATAGAGTGAAGGCTCTATGAAACTGTAAATAGAAATTAAATTTATAAATGTTCTACAAAATTAGTAAGTGGAGTACACAAGCGTACATGCTATACAATGAAGCTTAATTTAGAGCTAACATGCACATATTTTATACAGATCAGTGTTTCTTAGTAATTTTCCCATGCATTAACGTTGTAAGAATGTACATGTGGAGCTCGTAAAGATACACTTTTCTATGTAAGGGTTGGAAATAGGACTTCCACTATACAAAGGAATATTTCCTTGTGTAGCCTAGTAGGCAACGAGGTGTACACAAGCAAGATAGCTATTATCATTATATTAAGTAAATCATGCACCTGTACATGCACATATTATATACAAGGGAATGTATCTTAGAAGATTCAGATGAATTAATGCTGTACAAAGAAGTAGATTTATCTAGAGCTCACGAGCTCAAACCTTTTACAAATATGTTTAAATATAACTTACAAGTAAAACGTTTTTTAGAAGAGTATTTTTATGTCAAGTTCCTTTCTACATGGAACACAAATGCATAAACTACATAATAGTTTTTTCGCAATAATTTTTAAATACAGTGAAGGTTTTTTACCATAAACTGTAAAACTGCAAATACAAAAAAATGTGTTCTAAATCTGCTGAAATTTTTGCTTGCATTGTTTTTAGTTTTTCAGTTTGGTTTTTGTTTTTGTTTTATAGAAGCACAACAACTTTAAAATGAGCCTTTAAAGATTATTTTGATTAACATGTTAATGGATTAGTTTAATTGGTATTAAGTAAATGTTTAAAAATAAATCCGGACATATGGATGCAACGACTGGTTAGTAGCTCAATCTTGAATTCCAATTTTCGTGTCGAATACGTAAAGCAACTAATGTATGCCGACAAGCCACAAATGTTTGACGATTTAGAAGCAAGCATCCTTCTTGTGATTGCTGGTATGCTTCAGCTGGTAAAATTAGGTTTTATTAAAAAATAAACTATGAGTGTCAATTTCATAAAGGAAGTCTAAAGAACCACATTATTCTATTTACCAAAATCTTTCCATTGCGAAGGACGGGTTACTAGTGTTAATTATTTTACCGTGAAAAATTATTTTAAAATCAGACCTTGGTAGTCGTAAAACTATTTTGAACAGATTATTGTAGGCTTAATATTAATTCATGAAATTTTCTAGTAGAAAGCGATAAATGGAGATGTACAAATAAATTGAATATATCGAAGTAAATATAACATTGAATGTATATAATAATAACAAAAAGTAAATAAAAAAACAAATACCCCCGCTGCAGCAAACCTGCAGACTAAGCGAATTTCCATTTCCCTGAATGGATTTACACTAAAATGTCTCCTTAAAAATATCACATTTATTCCCTATTTATATAGAATCAGTTTAAAACATACTTAGGTTTGCTGCAACAGGGAGGGTAAAAGTGTTTTTTATGTAAAATGTTAATAGTTAGTAAGAAATAAAAACATTTTCCAAATTTTGGCAAAATATGTTTATAAACAAGCAAACTACAACAGTTTACTTATTCTCCATAAGAATAACATGGGAATTTTAAATTTACAATTTTTTGGAATTTTCTCCGTAACCATTAGGCGCATTATAACGCTTCAATATACTAAATTATTTGTTTTTTTAAGCTCTACAAAATAGTGTTGAAAGAAATTGCAAAATTTTATGTTTTTTGGGTCAAAAATGGGAAAAACCCATTTTTACCCCATAAAAGCCCCCATA